AGAAAAGTGAAGAGGAGAGAGACAGATTTTGGGAGATATTAAGCAAGTGTGTAGGAACTTTTAAACCAAGTGAGAGAGTAATTATGGTAGGGGACCTAAATGCTAAAGTAGGAGAAACATTTAGAAAGGATATGGTGGGTAAGTTTGGGGTGCCAGGTGTAAATGATAATGGGAGCCCTTTGATTGAACTTTGTAAAGAAAGAAGTTTGGTTATAGGTAATACATGATTTAAGAAAAAGAGGATAAGTATACAAGATATGATGTTGCTAATGTATGGAATGGGAGGCAGGTTACTGAAAACAGTGAAGAGTCTTTACGAGGATAGTGAGGTTCAGGTTAGAGTATGTAGGAGAGAGGGAGATTATTTCCCAGTAAAAGTAGGTCTTAGACAAGGATGTGTCACCAGGGTTGTTCAATATATTTATAGATGGAGTTGTAAGAGAAGTGAATGCTGGGGTGTTGGCAAGAGGTGTGGGGCTAAAAGATAAAGAATCTAACACAAAGTGGGAGTTTCACAGTTGCTCTTTGCTGATGACACTGTGCTTTTGGAAGATTCTGAAGAGAAGTTGCAGAGGTTGGTGGATGAGTTTGGTAGGGTATGTAAAAGAAGGAAATTAAAAGTGAATGTAAGAAAGAGTAAGGTGATGAGGATAACAAAAAAAAATTAGGTAACGAAAGACTGGACATCAGCCTGGAGGAGTGGACGTGTCAGTAGATGGGTCTATGTAAGTTGAGGTTAATCACAGAACTGACGAGGGGAAAAAGGTGAGTGGTGCACTTAGGAGTCTGTGGAGACAAAGAACTTTGCCCATGGAAGCAAAGAGGGGAATGTATGAGAGTACAGTATAGTTATACCAATGCTCTTATATGGGTGTGAAACATAGGTGGTGAATGTTGCAACAAGGAGAAGACTGGAGGCAGTGGAGATGTCATGTCTGAGGGTAATGTGTGGTGTGAATATAATGCAGAGAATTCGTAGTTTGGAAATTAGGAGGTGAGGGATTACCTAAACTATTATCCAGAGGGCTGAGGAGGGATGTTGAGGTGGTTTGGACATGTAGAGAGGTTGGAACAAAATAGATTGACTTCAGGAGTGCATAAATCTGTAATGGACAGAAGGCAGGATAGAGTCTGGCACAGGAAAGGCTGGAGGGAGGGGGTAAAGGAGGTTTTGTGTGTGAGAGGATTGGACTTCCACAAAGCATGCATGATCATGTTAGATAGGAGCAAATGAAGACAAATGGCTTTTAGGACTTTATGTGCTGTTGGAGTGTAAGCAACGTAATATTTATGAAGGAATTCAGGGAAACCGGGAGGCCGGACTTGAGTCCTGGAGATGGGAAGTACAGTTGTAGTTTTATAACTGTAGTGTAAGCATGCCTCTGGCAAGACAGTGATGGAGTGAATGATGAAAATTTTTCTCTTTCGGGCCACCCTGCCTTGGTGGGAGATGGCCAATGTTTTAAAATTTATACATGTATACATGTATACATGTGTGTGTACAGTGGACCCCCGGTTAACGATTTTAATCCGTGCAAGAGGGGTAATTGTTATGCGAAATAATCGTTATGTGAATGAATTTTCCCCATAAGAAATAATGGAAATAAAATTAATCCGTGCAAGACACCCAAAAGTATGAAAAAAAAAATTTTTTACCACATGAAATATTAATTTTAATACACACAAACTGAAAAAGGCATGCACACTTACATGACACTTACTTTTATTGAAGATCTGGTGATGATTGATGGGATGGGAGGAGGGGAGAGCATTATCTTCTTACTGTTTAGAAGGGGAATCCCCTTCCATTACGACTTGAGGTAGCAAGTCCTTTTCCGGGGTTACTTCCCTTCTTCTTTTAATGCCACTAGGACCAGCTTGAGAGTCACTGGACCTCTGTCGCACAACAAATCTGTCCATAGAGCTCTGTACCTCCCGTTCCTTTACGATTTGTCTAAAATGGGCCACAACATTGTCATTGAAATAGTCACCAGCACGGCTTGCAACAGCTGTGTCAGGGTGATTTTCATCCATAAAGGTTTGCAGTTCAACCCACTGTGCACACATTTCCTTAATCTTTGAAGTAGGCACAATGGATTCCACAACTGGCATAGGCTTCTCAGGGTTAGCCCCAAACCCTTCAAAATCTTTCTTAATTTCCATACTAATTCTCACCCTTTTTACCACAGGGTTGGCACTAGAAGCTTTCTTGGGGCCCATGGTCACTTATTTTCCAGAAACAGCACCGAAAACACTGTAATAATACGAAATATTCCGAGTGTATGCTTGGATGTTACCGCGGAGGCTGGCTGGTAAACAATGGGACGGGCGGCACATGTGAGGCTGGCTGAGGGCACATTGGACGCGTCTCGGACGAAAATCGGTGAGCGGGTTTTTAATCGGTATGCGCGGCAAAAATTTTGCGATAAAAGTAAGCGGTATGCGGAAAAATCGTTATGTGATGCCATCGTTATGCGGGGGTCCACTGTATATATATATATATATATATATATACATACATATATATATATATATATATATATATATATATATACATATACATATACATATATATATATATATATATATATATATATATATATATATATACATATATATACAGTGGAACCTCAAATATCGAACTTAATCCATTCCAGGAGTTAGTTCTAAATTCGAAAATTCTGAAAAGCAAAGCAATATTTCCCATAAGAAATATTGGAAATACAATTAATCCGTTCCAGGTCGCTCCTGTCTGTCTCAACTATTGGATCACTACGACAAGGTCCTAGATGCACTAGAAGACAAAAAGAATGCAGATGTAATATATACAGACTTTGCAAAAGCCTTCTACAAGTGTGACCATGGCATAATAGCACACAAAATGCGTGCTAAAGGAATAACAGGACAAGTTGGTCGATGGATCTACAATTTCCTCACAAACAGAACACAGAGTTAGTCAACAGAGTAAAGTTCGAGGCAGCTACGGTGAAAAGCTCTGTTCCACAAGGCACAGTACTCGCTCCCATCTTGTTCCTCATCCTCATATCTGACATAGACAAGGACGTCAGCCACAGCACCGTGTCTTCCTTTGCAGATGACACCCGAATCTGCATGACAGTGTCTTCCACTGCAGACACTGCAAGGCTCCAGGCGGACATCAACCAAATCTTTCAGTGTGCTACAGAAAACAATATGAAGTTCAACGATGAGAAATTTCAATTACTCAGATATGGTAAACACGAGGAAATTAAATCTTCATCAGAGTACAAAACAAATTCTGGCCACAAAATAGAGCGAAACAGCAACGTCAAAGACCTGGGAGTGATCATGTCAGAGGATCTCACCTTCAAGGATCATAACATTGTATCAATCGCAGCTGCTAGAAAAATGACAGGATGGATAATGAAAAACCTTCAAAACTAGGGATGCCAAGCCCATGATGACACTCTTCAGGTCACTTGTTCTATCTAGGCTGGAATATTGCTGCACACTAACAGCACCTTTCAAGGCAGGTGAAATTGCTGACCTAGAAAATGTACAGAGAACTTTCACGGCGCGCATAACGGAGATAAAACACCTCAATTACTGGGAGTGCTTGAGGTTCCTGAACCTGTATTCCCTGGAACGCAGGCAGGAGAGATACATGATTATATACACCTGGAAAATCCTAGAGGGACTAGTACCGAACTTGCACGCGAAAATCACTACGAAAGCAAAAGACTTGGCAGATGATGCAACATCCCCCCAATGAAAAGCAGGGGTGTCACTAGCACATTAAGAGATCATACAATAAGTGTCAGGGGCCCGAGACTGTTCAACTGCCTCCCAGCATACATAAGGGGGATTACCAACAGACCCCTGGCAGTCTTCAAACTGGCACTGGACAAGCACCTAAAGTCAGTACCTGACCAGCCAGGCTGTGGCTCATATGTTGGTTTGTGTGCAGCCAGCAGTAACAGCCTGGTTGATCAGGCTCTGATCCACCAGGAGGCCTGGTCACAGACCGGGCTGCGGGGGCGTTGACCCTCGGAGCTCTCTCCAGGTAAACTCCAGATAGAGATTAATTATAGTTTTACATACGCACAACAAATATAGTGTTCAATTATGTATTAATAAATTTAAATAAACATATAAAATAACATTTTACTTACCTTTATTGAAGATTGGTGATGGCATCTGGAAGATAGGGAGGAGGAGAGAGGGAGTTGGGGTTAGTGTTTGGAAGGAGAATCCCCCTCCATGAGCACTTCAGGTAAAGCCCTCTCTGGGGTTACTTCCCTTCTCTGTCTTTTAATGCCACTAGGACCAGCTTGAGAGTCACTGGACCCCTGTCTCACAAAATAACTGTCCACAGTCCTCTGTTTCTGGTGCCTCTTTAAAATTTCCCTAAAATGGGACATGGTTCTGTCACTGAACTTGTTGAAAAGATGGCTTGTTTCAGCTTGCTCAGTGTGATACTTCTCCACAAACATTTGGACATCATTCCACTTGGACATCATTCCACTTCTGTATTATTTCCTTCTTCACATCTATGGTGTTTCTCACTTTCTTTACCACAAGGGTACCACTAATAAGTTTCATTGCTCCCATTGTAGCTTATTTCAGAGTCCCACAAGCACTAAACACAATGAAATAATCGTAAAATGTTTGAATGAGAGCGCAGGTTAGTGTTCACTCAAGCATCAACAAAACCAGACTGGCCCACAGCGCCTGCGTGGGGACGCGGACAGAGCGGGCTGCCAGACAGGTCCGGTACCTGGCGGTTTGAAAATAGGGGCAAGTTCGATAATAGGGGCAAAGTTGGTTCGAAAAAAGGGCTCTATTTTCGAAGAGTTCAATAAGCAATAAGTTCAAAATTTGAGGTTCCACTGTATATATATATATATATATATATATATATATATATATATATATATATATATATATATATATATATATATATATATATATATATATATATATATATATATAATGCTAAATTTTGTTTTTTTTGTTTACAGGTTAAAGATGGAAGGTGATGGATGCTGGCTGAGTCACTTACTTATCCTGGGCCTGGTTACTGCTATCAATGGTGAGTCATTAGTGTATGGTAAGCCAGTCGCCATGAGTCACTAAATTATGGTAAGTCAATAAATTTAGTAACGAATTACTTGATTATTGTGTGTGTGTGTGTGTGTGTGTGTGTGTGTGTGTGTGTGTACTCATTTATTTGCGATTACAGGGGTCAAGTCATAGCTCCTGGCCCTGCCTCTTCACTGGTTGCTATGCCCACTCTCTCCCCTGCTCCATGAGCTTTATCATACCTCATCTTAAAACTATATATAGATCCTGCCTCCACTACATCACTCTCCAGATTTCTCCCCTTCTTGACAACTGTATGACTCAAGAAATACTTCCTAACATCCAGTTGTGACCCCTTTATGCTGTGTCACATCTCTGAAATATTCTGTCCCTATCTACCATGTCAATTCCTCTCTGTATTTCATATGTCACTATCATGTTCCCCCTTATCCCTCTTGTCCTATCCTCATAGGACATACCCCTTAACTCCGAGACTAATATTTTTGCACGCCTTTGCAATTCTCTAATTTCATGACGTGCTTGATCAGGTGTGGGTTCCATACTGGGGCCTTGTGGAACCCACTCGACACATGCACTTACCCTGACATCTCGTCTCATACTTTGTTTCCTTCCCATCAGGTATTCCCTGATCCATTGCAGTACTTTCCCTGCTATTCCTGCCTGCTCCTCTAGCTTTTGTACCTTCTTACAGTCCGAGATGATGCAGTCTATGCACCCCCGTCCCTTCCTTCTCTCTGTTACCTTGTCGCAGAACTCCTGTAGGTTTGTGACACAGGATTTCCATCCCTGAAGCCATGCTAGTTGTCATGAGCATGTTGCTTTCTAGGTGCTCCGCCACTCTTCTCCTGATAATCTTCTCTATGACTTTACATACTATACACGTCAGTGACACTGGTCTGAAGTTTAATGTTGCATGTCTGTCTCCTTTCCTAAAAACTGTAACTATGTTTGCTGTCTTCCACACCTCAGGCAGTTGTCATGTTTCAATAGATTTATTGAAGATTGTCGTTAGTAGCACACAGTGCCTCTGCTCCTTTTCTCAGGACTCACAGAGAGATGTTATATGGGCCCACTGCCTTCGAGGCATCTAGTTTACCTAGTAGTTTCTACACCTCTTCCTCGGATGTGTGCAGTGTGTCTAGCACTTGCTGGTGCACCCTACTGCTTCAGACTGCTTGAAGCCTCTCTGCCTCCACTGTAAATACTTCTTTGAATCGTGAGCTGAGCTCCTTACATACTTCTTGTGATCCCCCTCCTTCCTTCCTCATCCTGATTACCTGGTCCTTGACTCTTTGTTTTCCTCCTGATATGACAGTGTAACATTGAGTCAAATCTGACTTTCAATGCTATGTCATTCTTGTATTGATGATGGGCTTGCCTCCTTATCCATACGTATTTGTTTCTGGCTCTTTGGCTCAACTCCTTGTTTTCCCAAGTCTGTTGCCTTCTATGCTTTTTCCATGCTCTTGCATACTTAGTTTTGGCCTCTCCACACCTGGTAAACCATGGGCTCACTCTGGTCTTCCCACTGTTTCTGTTGACCCTTCGCATAAATTTCTCCTCTGCCTTCCTGCACCTTGCAGTCATGTGTTCCATCATTTCATTTACTTTATTTCCCTCAAGTTCTCTTTCCCACCACCTCATTCAGGAATTGTCTCATACCTGTGTAGTCCCCTCTTTTGAAGATTGGCTTCTCCCATCCTTCTCGTGTTGCTTCACTCTCCACTGTTAATTTTACAAGGTTATTGAAACTTAAGCCCACATGATCACTAATGCCAAGGGGTTTTTCATATGTAATATCCCTTATACATGTATCTGAACTGTTCAAGGTGAATATGAGGTCCAGCCTTGCTGGTTCATCCTCTCCTGTCTCTCTGGTAGTTTCCCTAACATATTGGTGCATGAAGTTTTCCAGTACTAGCTCCAGCAGTTTAGCCCTCCATTTTTCTGGTTCCCCCCCCCCCCATATGGCTCCAGGTTTTCCCAGTCAGTCTTTTTTGTGGTTGAAGTCACCCATGATGAGTAACTTTGCCCTACCCATGGGGGCCTTTCTGGCCACCTCGGCTATTGTTGTTACAATTGCTCTGTTGATCTCATCATACTCTTGGTCTCCTGCTTAGTCGTGGGTTATACATCACTGCAATCGCCACCTTGGGATTTCCCAGTCTGAAGTGTTCCTATGTAGTCATCTGCTTTCCCTTTGTCCATTCCTACCATCTTCTCAAAACTCCACTAGTTTTTGGTGAGCAGTGCAACTCCTCCTTCACCTCTGTTCACCCGTCTTTCCTTAGGATCTGATAGCCAATCAGGAAGATTGCACCTGTTATCATCTCCATGAGCTTTGTCTCCATGAATGTAGTGATGTCTGGGCATGCCTTCACGATTCGTTCATGCCACTTCACACACATACTTGTTATTCCATATGCATAGGTGTACCATATCTTTAGCTTCTTTTTCCATGGTTTGTAGGCTTTTGGATCCCTGGTCTTTGTCAATAAGTCAGGTTGGTAGAAGGGGTTAGTGTGGTTTGGGGGTATGAAAGGTAAGATGGGATTTTGTAAGAGGCTGCTGTTAGGTATTTGTGCTGGAAGTAGTAGAATTAGTGTAAAATTTGTGAATGGGTAGGGTAGAATAGGGGTTGAGGGGGTTTTATGGGTGGCTGTACTTGATGGTCTTCTCGAAGTTGAGTTTCCATGACTGTTGATGCCTGCTGTCTCTCCTTCCTACTACTGGCATCTGTGTGTTCTCCCTCTATTGCTCCCATTTCTTTCTTGTTTTGTCCTGGTCGAGGTACACCCACTGGTATTTTTCTAAGTCCCTCAACTATGGTTCTGCTGCATGATCCTGTCTTGTACCATTTCTGTCTAGAGAGTCAGTTTAACTGGGCAATTTTTTCCCATTGAATCTCTGAAAATTTGTTACCTGGGACATGTCCTCTCCACCAGTTATGATATTGTTAATCTCTGTTTCCTCCACCTGTTGTATTTCATAAGTCCTCCTTTAGCCTCCTGAAGACTGTGAATCATCAGTGACCTACCTCTTCCCCCCCCCTCTCCTTCTCTCTCCCTCTCCCTCTCCCTCTCCCTCTCTCTCTCTCTCTCTCTCTCTCTCTCTCTCTCTCTCTCTCTCTACTTCACACTTTTCTCTCCATATCTTTATATCTAATTTGAGCAACTTCTTTGTTGTTCCCCTTACCTCTTGCACCTCCTAGTTGTCTGATAGCATTTCCATAAAGGTCTTCTTAGCTTCTTCCCTTCCTTCAGTCCCCTCACCTGCTGTTGCTGTTCCTGCTCCCATCTCATAGTCCCTTTCTTCCAGCTCCTCCAGTTCCTCCTCCAGGCTCTGTATCTTTGCCTCAGTAACTGTAGTTCATCTCTCCTATGCCTTGCTCTCCACAGACACCCTTTCCATTGCTTTGCAAAACTCAATAAACCTTTTATCCAACTCTTGTTCCATAATGCACCTAAGCACTGCTACCCACACTTCCTCCTCAGATCATTCTTCCTGGGCTCACCTGCCTCTTCCTCCTGGCTTCTAGGATCCCATTTCTGAGCTCCTCTGGCTCAACGATATGGATACAAAGGCTTCCTCAGAGTGCAACTGGTGGAAGACCTTCGGTCCCTGCCCTGAATATAGACAACTGTGTATGCTTGCATGTGTGTGTGTGTGTTGTATTGAGATGTAGGCACCAAACAGCTGCTGCATATGCCTATTCAGTACACAAATAACCCGCACATAAAAGAGAGAAGCTTACGACGACGTTTCGGTCCGACTTGGACCATTTACAAAGTCACACTGTTATTTATATGCCTATTTAGGCCTAAAAGATCTCTACCCACATAGGACATGGTCAGTTCCTCAACCTAAAGAAGAGGCTAACTTCCAGAGCTTATAAACTTAATCAGAAGTGAGGTGTAGCAGCTGCTGGTGATAGCACAAGTAGCCAGGGCCAACTACTGCAAGTCATTCAAGTTATTCAATACAAGAACATCTTTCACAGTTCTCACTCTAACCTCTTACATGTAGGCCCAGGGACATCTCTCTGTAAGATTATGGTGACTCTCTCTGTGAGATTACACAGTGACTGTCTTACTGTTTACAGGAGTGTGTGATCTTCCCAGCCAGTGGAGAGGAGGATGGTTCCAGAGTGGAGTGAGAGATATAATCTCTCTCACCAGAACTGAATTCTCATCTAAGGGCATCTGTCTACACTCATCTGGAGAGAAATTCCTTTTCAAAGACAGGTGAATTAACACAGGTGTTGTGCATGTGTCTTATTCACTTGTAAAGTCACCCATCAGTAAAGACATCATCAGTAAAGACACACAGGTGTTGTACATGTGTCTTATTCAACAATAAGGACACCCAGGTGTTGTACATGTGTTTTATTCATCAATAAAGACACCCATGTATTGTACATGTGTCTTATTCATCAATAAAGACACCCAGGTGTTGTACATGTGTTTTATTCATCAATAAAGACACCCAGGTGTTGTACATGTGTCTTATTCATCAATAAAGACACCCAGGTGTTGTACATGTGTCTTATTCATCAATAAAGACACCCAGGTGTTGTACACGTGTCTTATTCATCAATAAAGATACCCAGGTGTTGTACATGTGTCTTATTCATCAATAAAGACACCCAGGTGTTGTACATGTGTTTTATTCATCAGTAAAGACACCCAGGTGTTGTACATGTGTCTTATTCATCAATAAAGACACCCAGGTGTTGTACATGTGTCTTATTCATCAATAAAGACACCCAGGTGTTGTACACGTGTCTTATTCATCAATAAAGACACCCAGGTGTTGTACATGTGTCTTATTCATCATTAAAAAAAAAATTGGTTCCTCAGCAGATAGGCCTAGTCTAAAATTCCTACCTAAAAATAGGTATACTTAAAAAATATATTAGTTGGTTAATTGTAAAGTTTGATCCCAGACCAAATTTAAGTGAGCTATCTCAACTAATCTCAGAGATTATACGTGAATTATAGATCCAAAGCTTTCTATGTTTGACCTATAATTCTGAGACTGATAACTGTGATAGCTGAGAGATGATAGGCCTATAATTCTGATAGCTGAGAGAGGAGGAGGAGGAGGATAGACCTATATGCTCAGAATTACTATAATTCAGATAGCTAAAAGATGACAGGCCTATAATTTTGATAGATGAAAGAGGACCATAGGCCTATCCTCTCACAAATTCTATAATTTACACCAACTCAACCTATTTTTGTAAATGCTTTGAAAGACAGTCTTGAAACCCACTGAGAGTAGATTAAAGACAGGTAGATAATGTTTTTCACCAGCATGTTTTGCCCGCGGTAAACTGTTTTAAACCAAAATTAACATCATTTTTTGTGGTAATTTTTATTTTTCTTAAAATGGTAAAAAAAAAAATCGTTTAAAAAATAGAAAAAAATTAGAAAATATTGAGGATTTTGTCTACCTTTATCCACATGTCTACCAGTGTGTCTACCTATCTGGGTGTCTGCCTGTGTGTCTACCTATCTACCTGTTTACCTGTATGCCTACCTGTGCATCTACCTGTTTATGTATCTACCTGTTTATGCATCTACCTGTGTCTACCTGTCTACCAGTGTCTACCTGTCTACCAGTGTCTACCTGTGTGTCTACCTATGTCTACCTGTCTACCCATGTGACTACCTGTGCATCTACCTAGGTGTCTACACATGTCTACCAGTGTGTATACATGTGTCTACCTGTCTACCAGCATCTACCTGTATGTTTACATGTGTATCTACCTGTCTCTCTACCTGTGTGTGTATGTGTCTACCTGTGTGACTACCTGCCTGTACCTATTTACCTATCTACTTCTGTCTACCTGTGTGTCTGTGTCGACCTGTGTGCTTACCTTGACTACCTGTCCGTACCTGTGTATCTACTTATCTACCTCTGTCTACCTATGTGTCTACCTGTAAATCTACCTGTGTGTTTACTTATCTTCTTATCTTTCTGTTTACCAATCTCTCTACCTGTCCATAATCAACAATTAAATACATTGATATTATTGAAAAAATCGACCCAAATCTGGCAAAAAATCTTGTTTCAATACCAGCCTATTTTGCAAGTTCTTTTCCAAAATCAATGGAAAAAACTACATCTTAAATGAAACGTTTATGCAACTTGTCTCGTTGCAGAAGCGACGCGTGCTACAGGTGTGTCGTTATAAGCGAGAAACACCCTAACATTCTCCAGTACAAGGAAAGTAAGTACTCATTTGCTTTAAGAATTCTCTCTCTCATTTTTTTCCTCTCTCTGTATTCCACATCCCATCCTGGTGGGTTTTCTGGGATAGGACATGGCTTATGCTTGTATTCTAGCCTATCATTGAGGTTTAGCCATTTATCTTATCAATTTCCTCATTGCAAAGCTCCTGATGAAACATTGGTGGCAGTGTAAAAGGCCTTTCACCTGTTACAGTCCCCTCTTTACAGGATTCTTTTGCATGGAAGGTGGCAAATGTAGTCCCAATTTTTAAGAAAGAAGACAGACATGAGGCACTAAACTACAGACCAGTGTCACTGACATGTATAGTATGCAAAGTCATGGAGAAGATTATCAGGAGAAGAGTGGTGGAACACCTATAACAGAACAAGCACGGTTTCAGGAAAGGGAAATCCTGTGTCACAAACCTACTAGAGTTTTATGACAGGGTAATGGAAGGAAGATACAAGAGAGAGGGGTGGGTAGATTGCATCTTCTTGGACTGCAAAAAGGCCTTCGACACAGTTCCTCACAAAAAATTAGTGCAAAAGCTAGAGGATAAGGCATGCATAACAGGAAAGGCACTGCAATGAATCAGAGAATACCTGACAGGGAGGCAACAATGAGTCATGGTACATGACAACGTGTCAGAGTGGCTGCCTAGGTTCCACAGGAGGCAGTCCTAGGACCAGTGCTGTTTCTGGTATATGTAAATGACATGACAGAAGGGATAGACTCAGAAGTGCTCCTGTTTGTAGATGATATGAAGTTAATGAGGAGAATTAAATCGGATGAGGAAACCTGGACAGGCTGAAAGTCTTGTCCAGCAACTGGCTCCTCGAATTTAACCCTGCCAAATGCAAAGTCATGAAAATCGGGGAAGGGCAAAAAAGACTGCAGACAGAGTATAGGCTAGGTGGCCAAAGACTTCAAACCTCACTCAAAGAAAGGGATCTTGGGATGAGTATAATACCGAGCACATCTCCTGAGGTGCACATCAACCAGATAACTGCTGCAGCACATCGGCACCTAACAAACCTAAGAATAGCATTCCGATACCTCAGTAAGGAATCGTTCAAGACTCTGTACACCATGTATGTAAGGCCCATACTGGAGTATGTAGCACCAGGTTGGAACCCACACCTGGTCAAGTACATCAAGATATTAGAGAAAGTGCAAAGGTTCACAACAAGGCTAGTCCCAGAGCTAAGGGGAATGTCCTACGAAGAAAGGTTAAGGGAAATCGACCTGGCGACACTGGAGGACAGGAGGGTCAGGGGAGACATGATAACATATAAAATACTGTGAGGAACTGACAAGGTGGACAAAGACAGGATATTCCAGAGATGGGACACAGAAACAAGGGGTCACAATTGGAAGTTGAAGACTCAGATGAGTCAAAGAGATGTTAGGAAGTATTTCTTTAGTCACAAAGATGTGGAATAGTCTGGCAAGTGACGTAGTGTAGGCAGGAACCATACATAGTTTTAAGGCGAGGTATGATAAAGCTCATGGAGCAGCAAGAGAGGACCTAGTAGTGATCAGTGAAGAGGCAGGGCCAGGAGCTATGTCTTGACCCCTGCAACCACAAATAGGTGAGTACACACACACACATTTCCTCTCTGAATGGCCACACTGAGGTGCTGGAATATGAAAGTGGCCGCCCTTGGGCCCTTAGTGGCATGATTGAGTCTGGAATGCAGTTCTTTGAGGAAATATGTGGCGTTCTTTCCCCATGATCCCAAGGTCTCCGATCCCACTAAGACAAATTGATACTGATGGCCTATGTCTCTGTACTTGCTGATCTTATACACCTCCCTGTAATCTGCTGCACCTCCTTGTTGCCAAACACCGTGATGGATGTAGGTGTCAGCCAGCGTCGACAAGCAGGTATAGTCCCCTGCTAAAAGCTTGCCATTCTTGCAAGGATAGATGGTGATCCCATTAGGGCAATTTGCAGGATTGTGAGTATAGTTGGATGCTAAGGATCAGGGCTCTCAAACCATACCCCGGCTGGGATTGAATCCGCGGTCAGAGAGTCTCAAAACTCTAGACTGACTCTCTGACCACGGGTTCAATCCCGGCCGGGGTATGGTTTGTTTGCAATCGTGTCATTACGATTTCGTGAGTCATCAGGGCTCTCTGCTGGGCATCCAGCTGTAGCAAGACTCCTCTTAATGATGTAACTGACTTCACTGTGTCTTGCATGCCAGCCCCTGGTTTTGGAACAGTTTAGGCTATGTAGACCATATTGATTTGCTTGCGCATCACCGTAAATACGTATATATTCCATGTAAATTTGGGCAGCGAAACAAAGAACCACTGCAATACAGAGGGTCGGTGGGTCAAGGCACGTTCCTACCATCGAAATGGGAACTGTTTGGAGGAAGTTCTCAGAGTGAGGTGCATTTCCTGGTTGGAGACAGGCAGTCTCTCTGTTGGATGTTGCAGCCCTAAGCATGTTGGCACGCACATTTTTAGTGATGGGGCCATCATACAACTCAACTGTAGACAAGTGCCGCCCTAGGTTTTGGTGCTGGAGCAGCAAGTCTCCCCCATTCAGTAATGGCACTTATGTAGCTAGGATCTTGTATTCCCACTGAGTCACCAAGGTTGTCCAGAAGAATTTGTTTTATTAACTGGTCTGGCCTGAACTGAAGAGCGTATGGGATAAATAAGGTTATGTTCATTAGACTCTCAAAAAGATAACCAATTTTTTACAGCTCTGTAATTTGTCAAATCCATAAGTCTAGTTTCCATGGTTTTACTCTGGCTCAAAAATAACCTTAATTTTGCTTAACCCTTAAACGGTCCAAACGTATACATACGTTCTCTTGCGTAGAGCCCCAAACGTATATATACATTTCATTTTTCATTCATTCAGCATTGGCGCGAGAGGCCTGAGTCGCCTAGACATGAGAGGATGGGTGTGCACACTCACTGTGCGCCATATGAAAAAAATTGGGAACGCCTGGGTACCACATGCTCTTTTTTTCTATAAAAAAAAAATTCTCAAAATATTCGGGGCACTGCGCAGGTGAACGTATATATATGTCTGGACAATTTAAGGGTTAATAATGACATCAAAGTGCAAGAGTAGCATTGGTGACAGTTCTTCAAGGCCTAAGAGAAGTCGTGAAGTGCTTCCCACCAGTGAAAAACTGCTAATTCTTGATTACTGTTTGTAATTTATCAATTAACCCTTTGACTGTCGCGGCCGTATATATACATTTTACGAGGTGCCGTGTTTGACGTATATATACTCATAAATTCTAGCGGCTTCAAATCAAGCAGGAGAAAGCTGGTAGGCCCACATGTGAGAGAATGGGTCTGTGTGGTCAGTGTGCACCATATAAAAAAAATCCTGGAGCACGCAGTGCATAATGAGAAAAAAAAAACTCCGACCGTTTTTTTTAATTAAAATGCCGACTTTGTGGTCTATTTTCGTATAGTATTTATGGTTGTATTCTCGTTTTCTTGGTCTCATTTGATAGAATGGAAAACATATTACAGAAATAGGGTGTTTTTGATTGATTTTACTATAAAAAGAACCTAGAAATGGAGCTCAAAGTAGGGGAAATGTTTGATTTTTGCCAATGTTCAAAAGTAAAACAAATGATGCCATTGTCCAATAAATGTCCAACTAGCCATTCTAATATGCAGTCATGAATGGGTTGATGTTATTTATACAGGTATTACAGCATTGCAGTAGTCTGCATAATAGTAAGTCTAATATTTTTTGTTTGAATAAAAATTCAAAATAGAAAGCAAGAGTAATACCAGAGGGGCCTGGAGACGTGACTGATGAACAAAGAAAACGTTATTTTAGAGCCTGGAATGTCTGCATTGTTCATTCTGGACCTTATTTTGAAATTGTCATATTTTTTAGTTTTCGTGAAATTGGCCAAATTGCAAATTTCTGACCACATTATTAGGTAGTTGAAATCAGTAAATTGGCAGTTTCTTGTACTCAATCGATAGAAAAAATGAAGTTCTAAAGAAATAGCTATGAGTTTGGGCGACTGGAACAATGGAATTAGCCGAAAATAGGGCTCAAAGTGGGCGAAATCGCCGATTTGTAAACAGCGCCGAGGTCGCTAACTTCGCGAGAGCATAATTCCGTCAGTTTTCCATCAAATTTCGTTTTTTTGGTGTCATTACAATCGGGAAAAGATTCTCTATCATTTCATAAGAAAAAATAATTTTTTTTTTTTTTAAATTTTGCGACACCAGGAGACACCTCAGGATTGGGGGTTGCGACAGTCAAAGGGTTAAACTTCATCATAGGTATGTATGTAAACAAAAAATTACTTAAATATATAGTGTTCGCTATTATCTGTGGATTCAGGTATCTGTGGTAGGTCTTGGAGCATATCCCCACAGATACAGGGGTCGTACTGTAGTTGTCAGTGTTTGTTGATATGGAAATGTGTGTGGAGAGGGTAAATGTGACCCTGCACAATACCTGTACAAACATATGAGAGGCAGTTCCACAACTATTACCTGTCACAACTATCACCTACTACCATTAAAAAAAAATCACCTGAAAACATCAGTAAAAACCCCATATATTACCAGCCATGAGGCAAATTATTTTTAATAATATGCTCAGAGTAATACCCACCATAATATGAATGTGACCTATACAAAAATACGTGAAAAATTTATAAAATAGCAATAAAAGTTCTAATTTACCAACGGTGTTATCATTGGATTTCAAGTTGTAACAACCTGAGGATCGCTGTGTCCATCTTGTTGCTGTACAATTAACTACCAAAATGCTTTTGTAAATATAATTATTTATTATGTATTAATAGAATTATTTAAACAATGAAAATATCATTTCCCATGCAATTTCAATAATGAAAAAGGAATTTTACATGGGACTGATGTAATGACATCCAACTTTGGTCAATGTCTTATGTGGAAATAATTATAGATTGATTTCAATGCATTTTTCTCTCTCATGGTGAAGAGAGTTGTGGATGAGCAGGACAGTCTGCCAAGTAGAGTAATAGAAGCTAAGATGTTGGCTAGCTTTAAAAAGATAGATTAATACATAAGAACATAAAAAAGGAGCACTGCAACAGGCCTACTGGCCTATGTGAGGCAGGTCCAATTCTCACACTGGCTTAAGCCAATGCCTTGACCTAGTGATGTCAGACACGTTATTTAAGGGAGGAGCACTGCATCCATCCTAGTAGCACAGGCTAGCCAGGTCCAACTCACACCCACCCACACCCACTCATGTATTTATCTAACCTATTTTTAAAGCTACACAACGTTCTGGCCTCTATAACTGTACTCGGGAGTTTGTTCCACTCCTCCACAACTCTATTACCAAACCAGTACTTTCCTATATCCTTCCTGAATCTGAATTTTTCCAATTTAAAACCATTGCTGAGAGTCCTGTCTATGTTTGATATTTTTAGCACTCTATTTACATCCCCTTTATTAATTCCTGTTTTTCATTTATACACCTCAATCATATCCCCCCTAATTCTACGCCTTTCTAGAGAGTGCAGATTCAGGGCCCTCAGTCTATCCTCATAGGGAAGATTTCTGATAAATGTGATCAACTTCGTCTTCCTCCTTTGTATGTTTTCCAGTGCATTTATATCCATTCTGTAATACGGTGACCAAAACTGCACAGCATAATCTGAATGATACCTAACCAAGGATATATAGAGTTGAAGAACAACCTGAGGACTTCTATTATTTATACTTCTTGCTATGAAGCCAAGGATTCTGTTGGCTTTATTGCGAACACTTATGCGCTGTTGTCTTGGTTTCAGATTACTGCTAACCAGAACTCCTAAATCCTTTTCGCAATCCATAATATTAAGATCTACATCATTCAGTTTATATGTAGCATGGTTATTTTCCTTTCCAACATTTAGAACTTTGCATGTGTCTATATTAAACTGCATCTGCCACTTCTCCGACCACTGCATCAGTCTATTCAAATCATCCTGGAGTGCTCTAATGTCTTCATTAGAATGAATTGGATGGCCTATTTTGGTGCCATCAGCAAATTTGCTTATGTCGCTATTTATTCCCTCATCTATGTCGTTTATGTAGATTGTGAACAACGAGGGGCCCAACACTGACCCCTGAGAAACACCGCTTGTGATGTGCCCCCATTCTGATTTCTCCCCATTAATGCAAACTCTCTACTGCCTATTTGTCAACCATGCATCTACCCAAGAAAAAATTTCTCTTCCTATTCCGTGTGCCTTAAGTTTTCTCAACAGCCTCTGATGTGGAACTCTATCGAAAGTCTTACTGAAATCCATATACACAATATCATATTCAATACCATGATCTACCTCCTCAAATACCTTACTGAAGGTTAGTAAATTTTTAAGACAGGAACGCCCCTTTGTAAAACCGTGTTGAGATTCACTAATCAATTTGTGCCTTTCAAGATGGCTACAAATTGCTTCGCCAATTACTGATTCCATAAATTTACCAACTATGGAGGTAAAGCTTATTGGTCTATAGTTCGAAGCCAAGAACCTGTCAACTGCCTTGTAAATAGGTATTACATCTGCCATTTTCCACTTATCAGGCACTATGCCAGTTTGTAGTGATATGTTAAAAAGATTAGCCAAAGGTATGCTAAGTTCCTCTTTACATTCCTTTAACACCCTTGCAAACAGTTCATCAGGACCTGGGGATTTGTTAGGTTTTAATTTCTCTATTTGTCCGAGGACCATGTCACTAGTTACCACAATCATGCATAGTTTATCATCATCCTGTTCTACATTTATTATTTCTGGAATTTTGCTAGTATCTCCCCGAGTAAAAACCGAGAGGAAGTAGGTATTGAAAAATTCACACATATCCTTATCACTGTCAGTGATCTGACCAGAGTTACTCTTAAGTGGACCAATCTTGTCCCTAATCTTACTTCTCTATACCTGAAAGAACCTTTTTGGGTTAGTCTTCGAATCCCTTGCGACTTTAGCCTTTATTAGTATCTAAGGTATTGAAGGGAATTCTTGGGTAGCTTTAGGAAAAGGTTGAACAAGTGGATGGGTGGGACTGGGTGGTTTTGAGAAGGACCTGCCTAGTATGGGCCAGTAGGCCTCCTAGAGTGTTCCTCCATTTTTATGCTTTTCTCTTCAAGAAGGCACTGGGCAGGCACCTAAAGTCAGTAGCTGACCATCCGGGATGTGGTTCATATGTTGGTTTGCGTGCGACCAGCAGTGACAGCCTGGTTGATTAGGCTCTGATCCACCACGAGGCCTAGTCACAGACTGGGCTGCGGGGGTGTTGATCTCCAAAACCCTCTCCAGGTAGTGGTGTATTTTAACTACTGATACACAACAGTATTATGTTCACTGTTTAACACAAGGTTGTCTCTGGGTACAGCACTATGCGAGCCCTCGAGAGACCTGGCCTCACTCTGCGCACAGATCACCGGTGATGCGCTCCTCTTCTCTATGTTCCGCCGCGATGCACCGCCAGCGCCGTGCCCCTTCAAGGGACCACTAACCTTCAGCTACACCCGAGGCCATGGTCAGTGTGGGGTGCCCGCTTCCAGCGTTGACTCCTGCACCAGCGATAGTCGATTGCTCTTCAAGTATCAAGCTTGTCCGGATGTGCAAGGAACAGAAAGCTCAGGCAAGTAAAAACCCTCTTAAACAATAATAAAAAAGAATATAAAGTAACAATGCTGGAATAATACACAATTAACTGCAGGAGAATGAACTTACTATTCCACTTACACTCCACCCTCTGACTATTTATCACTCTCACAAACACCTTGTTGCCACCTCTTCCCTTGTTTCACTACTACTACTACTACTAACACCACCACTCCTATCTCGACCACTACTACAATTCTACCATTATACTACTCCCTCCTCTCATTCTACCACTCCTGCCCTCCCTCTATTGTATATATACTGCCTCCCATTCACACTAGAGTATGACTAGTTAATGGTCCAATTCAGAGTAAACTACACAAATAATAGTAATGTTAGTAATACTAATAATAGTATTACTGTTATAATTTATATTTCTACCAGTTTATGACACAACTGGTCATTTCACTGACCCAGTACGACATGTATATAGACAGTCCCTGGTTATATATGTAGAGTAATTTGGTCATTTTAGGTTAACTTCTCCACTGGGATGCCAACCACAACAGTCTGCTAACACTTAGGCATCTACTTACAGCTATGTGAACAAAGACAGTAAAAAAAATACATATATCGTATCATCCATTGTAAACATTAAGTTCCATTTCTATCAGTGGAGGAAGTGGAATGTATTGGGCACTGGAAGGAGGGCAGCACACGATACTTTGTGGGCAGGCTGGAGGGCAGCCGGGCACTCACTGATGAAGACCGTTACCGCTGTTTCGCCTGGGAAAGGGCACGGGAGGCTGAGGACAACATTGACTACCGGATGGCCCAGTCAGGGGATGCTACCTGCAATGGCGTCTTCTCAGCCTATGATGGGTCCAAGACTCTCAGAATTAAGAAAGGTAATCCAGGAATTTAAGGTAATCTGAGAATTTTCGGTAATTTGAGAATTTAAGGTAATTTAAGAATTTAAGGTAATTTGGGAAATAAGAAAGGTAATTTGGGAGTATACCCTTGAATTCTCTCCTCAAGACTCGCAAAATTTCAGTATTTTGGTTGATTAACGGGGTCTAAGTTCTATTTACTACTAAAGGGTCATTAAGACTGTTTGGTTGGTTTAGAGATTTATTAGAGAGCTGATTGTATATAAAAGAAATAACTGTATATTTTTTGTGACTGTTAAATGTGTTGACCAATGAGACAGGCTCTTACAATGGTTACACTTCTTGCTGGGAGTCCACCGTCAGCTTTATCAACAGTTAGTCCTGGAGTATACCTCGTCAATGTAATCTAGTCAGTGTAAGGTCCTGCATAGGATGATCATCTGACCATAAGACACATCATAAGGTCCAGGAGCTCATCCCTTTCAGGGCAATTCTAGACCATAATGCACCGGCAACTTCCCTCCCTCCACCACAAATGCAAAGAACGTAAAACAGAATATAGCAAAGAAATTTAGTCGAAGGTTGTTATGCCCTCATACTTGCTGTTCCCTCATATGAGAACAATAAGGTCAACGTTATAGCTCACAAAACATCTATGTAAACTTAAGAACATGGGGAAAAAATTAGGTACATTGTTTACATATCTTGAAAAGTTAAATTAGAATTATTGAACTGCTTGTTCTTCCTTCCTTTCTGTTTTCTTGCCCTATCTGCCCTTTTCTCGTTCAGTTGTGATTTGACAATGGTTGAGGATGGCATTCTCTCCCTAAGGGCAGGCTTTCAGTGAATTGAAGAATGTTTGAGAATGATAGGTTTGCATTCTTTATATTTCCAAAAATATTGGATCTTTTACATCCTTCACATCTCTCGGGCAAATAGGATATGTGAACTAAAGAAGGTCTAAGAGTAATAGGGTTATGCTCCTGACTCCCCTCAAAATCACAGTAAAGAACATGAATTTACCAACCTATGAGGAAAGAACAAGGTTATGTTCTTTACCTTCCTCATAATATTAACCACTTTACTAGCCATGCCATAGTACTATGGTTTTGAATTCACTGTCCGTGCCATAGAACTATGCCATGAGCTCAGTTCATTCGGATAAGCTGTGATCAATAAATTTGGACATAGATATTAGAGAATGGGCCTGTGTGGTAAGTGTGCCCCATGTAAAAAAATCCTGCAGCACGCAGTACACGAGAAAAAAACTGCAACAGTGTTTTTGGTTTAAAACAGTGACTTTGCGGTGCATTTTCATATGGTTTTTATGGTTGTATTCTCGATTTCTTGGTCTCATTTGATAGAATGGAAGATATATTACAGACTTTGATTTGTTTCTGGATTGAAAACAGCATGAAACTGGGCTCAAAGTAACGGAAATGTTCAATTTTTGCTGATATTCAAGAGTAAACAAATCACGTCATTTGTCCAATACACATCCAACTGATGGGTCTAATATGCATTCATGAGATGTGCTGATATTATTTACAGAATTATCAAAATATTGCATAGCGGTAAATCTATTTGTGTGTGTGAATAAAAATTCTGTGTAAATAAAAAATAAAAATAGAATTCAAGCGTAAAGCCTGAAAATATAACTAATGAACAGAGGAAATGTTATTTTAGTGCCAAGAATACTGGCATTGTTTATTCTGGACTTTATTTTGAAACTGGAATATTTTGAACTTTGTGTGAAATTGGCCAAATTACCAATTTCTGATCACTTTATTGGGTAGTTAAAATAGTTGACTGGGCAATTTCTTGTGTTCAGTCGATAAAATGGAAGACATACTAGTAAAATAGCTAAGAATTTGGTCAACTGGAAAAACATAACTGGCCTAAAATAGGACGCAAAGTGGGCAAAATTGCTGATACGTAAATATTGCTGACACAGTAAAATTCACAAAAGCATAATTTCATCAATTTTCCATCAAATTTCGTGCCTTTTTACCTTTTGCGTTATTTCCTTCAGAAAAGGATTCTCTACCATTTCATAAGAAAAAAAAATTTTTGAAAATTTTTGGGCAGTGTGGACAAGTTTCAGATCGGGGGTCTGGACAGTGAAAGGATTAAGGTGGTTTTTTTATGTTCTTGACACATACACAAAAAAATTAAACTAGATTCTGTGAAGTGCAAAACATATCAGAACACTAAAACCATGCTCTTAATACCTTCAAAAAATCACCCTAGTTCATTATGTTTTTCATACACAAAAAGTCAAATGTGTACACAAACTTAAGGACATAAGAGAAGAATAGTCTTACGTTCTTCACAGCTCAGAAAATTTAAATAAAAATAGATTACATGGACTGAAGAACACATGGGATAAACAGAGTTACGTTCTCACCATCCCCCCCAAAAAAACTATCTTGGAATTATATTCACCGCTGTTTGAAACTTCGCAGTGGGAAGCTACAGTGGATGCGAGTTCCCATCATGGGTTAGCAACCATCGTCGCTGGCACGCACTAGACCGCGGTGCCTCGTACTCCCTGGCACACCACAACACCACTCTAAGACTACACCACTCACATAACTCCAGAGCGCAGCCCACACCGCCTGGCATCACTCAAGACGACAGCGAAGACGGTACGTTCGTCCATCTAACAACCGCCAAGTCGTCATAGTATGACATTTCAAAAATTATGACTTCAAAATTGTAATAATTTTTTGAATTGTTATGGATACACACTTTGGTAAGACAGTCATCGACTGAATTATGGTAATTTTTTTTTTTGGAGCCACCCTACCTAAGGAGGAGGTGGCTGGTATGTTAAAAGTTTTAATAATAAAAATAATAATAAATGCTTCTATGCAAGACATAAAAACAATAATAATAATAATAATAATAATAATAATAATAATAATAATAATGATAATAATAATAATAATGTACAGTAGGGCCCCAACTTACATGTTACGAGTTCCCAAAATTCGTTGTAATTCAGTCCTTCGTTACCTGAAACTTATTTTCATATGAAAAATAACATCAAACAAATTAATGCATTCCAGTATTCACATCAAATTTCAGTTTTCTCCCACAAGATATTTCAGTCCAATTTTCACCTCCAATACACGTTTATTTAACTGCACATACATCATCTCAAACATCATGTATTTCCTTTAGCGTTGCAAGTGGGAGTCTTCACCACTACTCTTCCATTTCTACTCATGACGCATAACTGTTTCCCCAAGGTATACTCTCAAAAAAATACGGCGAACGTGTGGAGGTGAGGGTAAACAAGGGATCTGTAGACTATTTACTTCCAGCTACCAGACAAAGCACCGACTTGCCAAACACTATTCCACTGGCAGACGTACAGTGGACCCCCGGTTAACGAACTTTTTTCATTCCAGTGGTATGTTCAGGTGCCAGTACTGACCGAATTTTTTCCCATAAGGAATATTGTGAAGTAGATTAGTCCATTTCAGACCCCCAAACATACACGTACAAACGCACTTACATAAATACACTTACATAATTGGTCGCATTTGGAGGCGATCGTTAAGCGGGGGTCCACTGTAATTCCTTCTGTCAGAAGTGCAAGTCACTTTTTAATGAGAAACTGAGTTAAAAATGCCACTGTAAATGCAAACCTTCAAAACTCACAACCTCCTAAGTCAGGGCCCCACTGTACTGGTAATAATAAAAAAGTAATAATAATAATAACAATAATAAATAATTATAATAATCTCATAATGTCAATAACAAAATGAGTAATAACAATAAAAATGATCATTAAAACTGGTCCACAGGTACAGGTGAACGAGCAAAGGTGAACTACGGGAACACAGAAGCTCGTCTAGTGTGTTCCCAACAGAGAGAAGCTACCTCATCCAAGGTTGTCCTCGTCACACACCTTACTACTGGCTGGTAACTATCATTGTTGTGAACCCCTAAACCCATATGGGTCATCAGAAATAATAATGGAGGCTCAACCCTTCTTGACTAACATAATGTTAAGAAGTTGAACACAAAAGGAACTAAATACATTGATATATAAATAAATAAATAAATAAATAAACAAATAAATAAATATACAGTGGAACCACTACTTCCGAGCATGTCCACATGTGAGTGTTTCCAAATACGAGCAGTCGATGGGTCGATTTTTTGCTTCCATACGCGAGCAAAATTTCCACAAGCGAGCAGACCTGAAGGCAGGTTCCTTGACACTGGTGAGGGGCTCTTGATCTCGGGAATTGTATCTCATTGTTTGTTGGACTATCTTATTGAAACTTGGGCAATGTATGATGGAAAGATGCTTCTTAACATACACCAAAAATGAAAGAAATCTAAGCATAAATAATGGAGTTCGCTTTTCAGCAATTAGCCATTCCTTAGCGGTAATTTTGTATGGTTTTTATGGTTATATTCTCGTTTTTTTGGTCTCATTTGATAGAATGGAAGATATATTACAGAAATAGTTATGATTTTAATTGCTTTCATGACAAAAAGTACCTTGAAATAGAGCTCAACCTAGGGGAAATGGTCCATTGCTTGGCTGTTTCAGAGTAAACAAATGACGTCACTGTCCATTCCAATATTCAGTCGTGAATGGGTTGACATAGTTATACAATTATTGCAATAAGGAATAACAGTAAATCCTATATTTTTTGTGAATAAAAATTACAAATTATTTATATAATAATATTAATAATAATAATAATAATAATATGTATAATAATAATACATATAATAATAATAGTATAATATAATACAATAATAATAATAATAATAATAATAATAATAATATATGTATAATAATAATACATATATAATAATAATGTACTACATATAACAATTATAATAGATGGCTTCAAAAGGCCGTCACTAGATGGCAGTGTTTACCACAACAAAGAGGGAGCGGTTGTGGCCGCCTCCACCTGTTACATAATGACATTTTATTCATTCTAGAGTATATATCATGTTTCTATGTTATTCATATTGTTTGTTATGTCATATTAGATGAACTGTGATATATAAACAAGCCATATAGATGATATTAGCTAAATCATTCATGAAGTATTTTGCCCAGTCTCCAGACAAACTCGTCCACCCCCGACACCGCCCATACCACCACATGAATGATATACAGTGGACCCTTGACCAACGCTGGCATTGTATAACGTTAAATCCAACTAGCGATACATTTTAACGCAAAAATTTTGCCTCGGCTAGCGCTAAAAAACTCGACTATCAAGATTCGTTCCATTCGAGACGCATCCACATGTGGCCTGAGCGCACCTCACTTGTCCCGTGGGTGCCAGTGTTTACAAGCCAGCCACCGCGGTCGCATCCAAACATACAATCAGAACATTTCATATTATCACAGCGTACTTAGTGATTGCACCTGCAAAATAAGTCACCATGGGCCCCAAGAAAGCTTCTAGTGCCAACCCTACAGCAAAAAGGGTGAGAATCACTATGGATATGAAGAAAGAGATCATTGCTAAGTATGAAAGTGGAGTGCGTGTCTCTGACCTGGCCAGGTTGTACACGAAACCCCAATCAACCATCGCTACTATTGTGGCCAAGAAAACGGCAATCAAGGAAGCTGTTCTTGCCAAAGATGCAACTATGTTTTCGAAACTGAGATCGCAAGTACTCGAAGGTGTTGAGACTGTTATTGGTGTGGATAAATGAGAAACAGATAGCAGGAGATAGCATCTCTCAAGCGATCATATGTGAAAAGGCTAGAAGTTGCATGACGATTTAATTAAAAAAATGCCTGCAACTAGTGGTGATGTGAGTGAATTTAAGGCCAGCAAAGGCTGGTTTGAGAGATTTAAGAATCGTAGTGGCATACATAGTGTGATAAGGCATGGTGAGGCTGCCAGTTCGGACCACAAAGCAGCTGAAAAATATGTGCAGGAATTCAAGGATTACATAGACAGTGAAGAATTGAAACCTGAACAAGTGTTTAATTGTGATGAAACAGGCCTGTTTTGGAAGAAAATGCCAAGCAGGACCTACATTACTCAGGAGGAAAAGGCACTCCCAGGACATAAGCCTATGAAAGACAGGCTTACTCTGTTGATGTGTGCTAATGCTAGTGGTGATTGCAAAGTGAAGCCTTTATTGGTGTATCACTCAGAAACTCCCAGAGTGTTCAGGCAAAACAATGTTCTCAAGGCTAATTTGTGTGTGCTGTGGAGGGCAAACAGTAAGGCATGGGTCACTAGGGACTTTTTCTATGACTGGTTACACCATGCATTTGCCCGCACTGTGAAAAATTACCTCCAGGAAAATAAATTGGACCTTAAGTGCCTCCTGGTATTAGACAATGCTCCTGGTCATCCTTCAGACTTGGCAGAGCGACTTTCTGGGGACATGAGCTTCATCAAGGTCAAGTTTCTGCCTCCTAATACCACTCCTCTCCTGCAGCCCATGGACCAGCAGGTCATTGCAAACTTCAAAAAAATCTACACAAAAACTATGTTTGAAAGGTGCTTTGTAGTGACCTCAGAAACTCAATTGACTCTAAGAGAGTTTTGGAGAGATCACTTTAATATCCTCAATTGTGTAAACATTATAGGTAAGGCTTGGGAGGAAGTGACTAAGAGGACCTTGAACTCTGCTTGGAAAAAACTGTGGCCAGAATGTGTAGACAAAAGGGATTTTTGAGAAGCCTATGCCAGTTGTGGAATCAATTGTGGCATTGGGGAAGTCCTTGCGGTTGGAGGTTAGTGGGGAGGATGTGGAAGAGTTGGTGGAGGAGGACAATGAAGAACTAACCACTGATGAGCTGCAAGATCATCTTCAACAGCAAGAGGCCAGACCTGAGGAAACTACTTCAGAGGAGGGGATAGAGAAATTGAAGAAGTTGTCTTCTTCAAAGATTAAGGAAATGTGTGCAATGTGGCTTGAAGTGCAAACCTTTTTTGATGAAAATCACCCTCAGACAGCTACTGCAAGCCGTGTTGGCAACCTGTACAATGACAATGTTGTGAACCACTTTAGGAAAGTCATAAAGGAACGAGAGGTACAGGCCTCTATGGACAGATATGTTGTGCGACAGAAGTCCAGTGACTCTCAAGCTGGTCCTAGTGGCATTAAAAGAAGGGAAGTAACCACAGAAAAGGACTTGCCACCTCAAGTCCCAATGGAAGGGGATTCCCCTTCTAAACACTAACACCATCCACACTCTCCCCTCCTCCCATCCCATCAATCATCACCAGATCTTCAATAAAAGTAAGTGTCATGTAATTGTACATGTCTTCTTCAGTTTGTGTGTATTAACATTAATATTTCATGTGGTAAAACTTTTTTTTTTTTCAATACTTTGGGGTGTCAGGAACGGATTAATTTGATTTCCATTATTTCTTATGGGGAAAATTAACTCGACTAACGATTATTTTGACTAACGATGAGCTCTCAGGAACGGATTAATAGCGTTGGTCGAGGGTTCACTGTATTTTATTCATTTTAGAGTATATATCAGGTTTGAATGTTATTTATATTGTTTATTATGTCATTTTAGATGAAGTGAGATAGATAAATAAGCCATAGAGTTCATATTAGCAAAATTATTGAAGTACAGAATTCCACTGGAATGGATTAATTGCATTTCAATTAATTTAAATGAGGAAAATTGACTCTGCAAATGAGCAAATCCAGTTGCGAGCAAGGTCATGGAACGGATTAAACTCGTAAGTAGAGGTTCCACTGTATATACGTTTTTACCGCTAGTGCCCCAAACGTATGTATGTTTTATTTTTCCCGCCTTCAAATTTGGCACGACTGGCCTGATATGCCTTGTCAGCATAGAATGAGTTCTAACACTCAGTGTGTGTGGTATTAAAAAAATCTGGGACCACTTAGTACCTTGTGGGAGCACCAGTTCAAATGAGCACTAGCTAGAGCAAACAGCACAGCAAACACTTGGGATTCACTGATGTCATGTAGTATTAACACTCCCATTTTAAGAGGAAAGTGATTTTTGACCCTGAGTTTAGTGGCTTTGAGGTGGATGTGGCCACAAGTGGTCGAGGAAATATAAAAAAAACCTCAATAATAACCGATGTGCAATATTTGTGCAGCACCCTTTCAGAATGTCTTATAATCTAGTGATACCAGTGAATAGCAGAATACAGTGTTGTAGTAGCAACTAACCAGTATTATAATGGTACTTAGTGGAGTGGAGTGACTTTCATTAGTTTCTTTTTTCTTGAAATACCAGACGTATACTGTGAATTTCATATAACCTGTAGTTACCAGCGGTCGCAATATACACAACCAGAAGCAAATATTACTACAGAAAAAGTGTCCTTCCTCCAAAATTTCCACCAGTCAACTATAGTGATAATATAGCATTTATTGTGGTGGAGACGGAAAAAAAATAGAAAAGCTAGATACAACGATTGATAAACAAGGGTTGAGGTCGACCGTTCGTCATTGTAGGAGCTGCCAGAAATCACCGGTTTCTTCAACACGCAAGTTATACTTTTGTATCAATCAAATCACATATTACTCGGGTAGATAATTTCCAGTAGATCCTTCATGTGTTAGCCCAAATCACCGACCAGTATGTTTTAAATAAGGGACCCACTGATCAGATCAGATCGACTGGTCCGAACCCTTGACTGGTCCGAACCCTTGACTGGTCCGAACCCTTGACTGGTCCGAACCCTTGACTGGTCCGAACCCTTGACTGGTCCGAACCCTTGACTGGTCCAAACCCTTGACTGGTCCGAACCCTTGACTGGTCCGAACCCTTGACTGGTCCGAACCCTTGACTGGTCCAAACCCTTGACTGGTCCGAACCCTTGACTGGTTTCAAACGGTTTCGTTGGACAATAAAGCAGACTGTAAACGGATGGGGTTGTAGGCGCCCTTATAAACACAAACATTAAATATATATCAGGAACGTG